GGGGCAGTGACACACACTGGATGTTTCTACAGCACTGCTGAGCTTCTCTGCCACATTTGAGTGCTTTTGCATTCCAAAGAGATGACAAATGAGGGGCTGCCACTGAGACAATGTGACCTCTTGGGATCGATAATTTGCACAACTAACAGGTCTGTTAAGGGACCAAGAATGGGAGAGGTCTCCATGTCATCTAAAGCCGCTGGTGGTGTGGTGGTCAGGCCACACAGATTTTGTGTCTCTGTTGCCTCTTGCCCTGCCAAAGGCAGATGAAGGGAGATGCACAGAACAACATGCTTTAGTCACTAAATGCTGGAGTACCACTGTCCCCCCCCATTATGGGGTGATAGCAATAGAACATGAATCTTAAAAGCAACAAGGAAAGGGGAAAGAAAGAAAATAATCTCCTTAAAGTGTCCTCCATGCCCTCCCTCACGCTGCTGCTTTTCTGATAAAGGCTAAAGCAATTCAGCATTGGAAAGGGGAAAGGGACTTTGCCATCAAGGAGAGTGTGGGGGAGGGATGAAAGTCTGTGCATACTTTCTGATAATTTATTGCTGGCATCTGTTGCAGTCTCTGCAACCTACCCTTCTGTAATATAGGTCACCCACATGCCCTGCCAGTGCTCATAAGCCAGGCTGTTAACGGAGTCTGATCCCTCAGCCGTGATCCAAGGGTTAGTGCATGGAACTTGGAGAGATAATCAGAGACAGAGGTTGCTTCTGACAGTGTCTCATCCCAGTGACACAGTCACCTGTGTCTCTAGCCTCAGTGCTGTTGTCTGGAGAATGGGATAGATCTACCCACCTACCCAGAGCAGAAGCACTACTGGCTCTTACCTCAGCCTTACTTCTGGGGGTCATTAAACACAAAATAACACTGCCTGACAGCTGTGGTAAGAGCCATTCATAGAGCACATGGCAAGCTTTGGATAGAAGGTGACACAGAATTGGGAAGAGTTACTAAACCATCCTGTGGATACAGTAAACTGAAACCCTCCCCCGTTCTCCTAGCATGATCCTTGGGACCCTCCCCCAAAAAGCCATGGCTTTGGAGTGATACTGCAAACATTACTGGTGTCTGAGCACAGAGGAGCAGGCACAAAAAAGGAATAGTGCCTGCCATAGTTTTTAGCCCTGGCAAGTGCTGCAGAGTCATTACAATCCCCTCTGCATTCTCCCCTTCTTTCGCTCCCCTGCCCCCAGCAGTAAGGTTTGCTGTTCAATCTAATTAGGGGAATCCTCATTAGAGAGTCCTCTAGAGTCTGACAGCAGGCCAAATGTCCAAGTGGCACTTCAGCTCGGTGTATTTTTGGCCACTGGAGCCCATGGGCCAGAAATGGATGATTTCATTTTGTTGCTTTGAGCTGAAATGAAAAAAGTTGTCTTTTACTGCCCTATTTGAAACAGTAATAGGAAAAGGCCATCACCAGCCCCACAGGCAACCCTGTTTTCTCCAGAATGTGGAAAGTCATGCAACTCCAAGCACACGGAAGAAAGCTCTGGCCACTGTGCCCCATGGATCATCACAGGGTATTCAGCTGACATGTTGCTCTAGGGAGAAGGAACCATCTAGAAAGCCCATGAGAAAGACTAATGCCTGGTTTGTGGAGCCCTTGGGGGACTTCAGAGCATTCAGAGCTCCAGCAATGCTGACCAGCCCTGAGCCCCCAAATCCAAGCAATGCCAGGCAAGCTCAGAACAGATGGCACGGTGCCTCTCTTGTTGAGTTAGGGGCATATAGGGAGCACTCCTAGGTCTGGCAGAGTGCTTGCTGTTGGAAAAATCCCTGACTGTCAGGCTGAAAGCAGCCAGACACATCTGGTGCTGCACTGAAGAGGCTGGAGGTGTGGGCAGGTGCTATTTGCTCCAAGATTACACGTTCCCAGTGCTGCACTGGCAGCGAATGCAGTTGGCCTGGTGCTCTGCAGAGCAGAAGGCATCTCTTGGGCCACAAGAAAACTGCTAATTAAGTCAGAATTCAAAAAAAGCCAGAGGAAACCTTTAAAAAAAAAAACTCTTAAAAATCCTCTCTTCCTCCTTGTTCTCCCCTGACTATGGAATATTAATCACTAAGGGTATAATGTTCTTATGGGCAGTAGATGCGTAGGAGAAACTGGTTTTTTTTTCTGGATCTTTGGAATTAAAATTTCTCCATGAACATACTTCTCTAAGGTATAAATGCAGAAGCTCATTGACCCTCACCTTTCAGCAGCCAAGAAACTCTACATATTCCAAATCTACTGCTCTGCCACCTGGGCATATGGTATGCCTGGAGATGCAGGCAGCTTTGTGGGAGACATGGAGGTTAATAAATATGGGTTACAGAAGAGTCCCTGGCACATGTGCAAGCCCAACTCCGTGCACATATTTGTAAATGTAAGCCAGGCTGGTGACTCTGTGCATTTGTACATGAAGGTAGTTGCTTTTAAGCCTTGGGAACACGTGTATGAGTGCACACAGGGTGGATGCTATCTATGGAGTGGGGAGTGTGGCATATATGTGACATGCTTTAAAATAATCTTGGGTTTATCAAGGCCCCTCCATCTCAGTGCATGTTGCAGTGCAGGAGACAGCATTAAAGCCCGAACAGGTGTTAATCACTATGCACTGTAATAAATTCTAAACTTAGGGAAAAGGCTTATTTATACATGGCTGCTCCTCCCACCCTGCACTCTCTGCTTGAGCCTTGGTGCTGCCTGAGGGAAGGAGGCACCCGTGAGGTACCAGAAATGAGTGCAAGAGCTGGACTTGCCTTGCCAGAGCAGAAGGAGCTGGGGGTGGAAACCCTGACCCTGTCCCCATCCCCGCGTTTGGGTGTGCCAGCCCTGCCCTCAGCCCCCATCATTGCCTGGGGACGGCGTGGATAAAATGCACAGAGCACGCAGGGAGAGACACCAGTGCATGGCCTGAGCAGGGGCCTGGGCTGAGGGGACACCATAGAGGGAAACCGTGTCACCACCAAGGAAGCTGGTTTTGGGGTTGGATTTTTTTTTTTTTTTTAATTGCTTAGCCCCCTAATTGGAAGCAAGCCAGCTGATACAGATGGGGTGTTACAAAACAGAGCCAAAAGGCAAGAGCACAAGGAACAGAGCTATCTATAACCCTGACAAAGTTAGATGGAGTGAAGGTGGGGAAGAGGGAAAGGCAGAGCATGGCAGGCGGCTGCCCCTGATGCTGAGAGCAAGGACGTGATCATTTGGCAACAGGATTTGGAGCTGATCGACTGGCGCTATCCAGCAGGCAGATAAGGCTCTGTGGCTGTCAGCTTAACTCTGCCGTTTATTCCAGTGCTGTAGGGAGTTAAATAGAGCACACGGAAAGCCTGCTGCTGGGGAGTGAAAGTCAAGGAGGGAGAGGGAAGGAAGAGGCTGTAATTGGGCAGTGTCCGGGGAGTCGGGTGGAAGTGGCTGCAGGCAGAACCCCTCCAGGTAAGTGCCGGCAGCTTTTCATCCTCCTTTTCCGTATGGACAGGCGGGGACAGGAGACTTCAGGGGTGGCTTTTAGGATGGAGACGTTTCTATGGGGGAGGCTGAAAGTCTTCACGGTCGGGTCGAGCTCAAGCACCGAACGGGGACAGATATTTGTTGCAGCTTCTCCTTCAGTGGGAACTGCAGGGAAAGGGCTCCAGCTCAGTTTGGAGAGTGGGGGGCTGCAGCGGATGAAGGTTGATTTGGTTTCTGTACCATGAGAGGTATTTGGTGCATTGCATTTAGGTAAATGATCTAAACAGCTTTCCAAATGTGCTAGTCTAGGTACTGAATCTGCACATAATTTTCATCAAGATGATAATTTTAATATTTCCCAGTGGTTTACATTCCCATATAAAATAAATCAGTCTGGGAGCCTGGGGGAGGGTAGGCACCCGGCACGTGTGTGGGGAGAGTGTCCTGGTGGCAGTGCAGCACCCAGCTAAAATAGCCGCTGTGGATGTTGTCAGAGCCCCTCAGAGGGAAGGGAGGATGGCTTATTTCTGTACTCTGGTTGAAATGTGTCCATCTAACTGCTGCTGTGACTGTGGGTGGCACGTCAGAGAGTACGCAGGGGGACAGAAGGGCTTGTGGTGTTTTCATTTTTCCTGCCTCCTTGTATCCAAAAGGGAAGCGGGAGGGAAGTTGAAACCTGTTGTCAGTCACTTATTGTCAGGGGAGAGTTTATGGTCTTTGGGTTTCTAATTAGATTGAGGATTTTTCCTTCTACTAATTAAGATGCAATTCCTCTCTTTTCAACACTCCCACTCAGTCTCCCTCGCCTCAGGTCCTTCCTTCTCCTTCTCCTCCGAGGCTCGCTCGCTCTTCAGCTCCTGCAGCTGCTGCAGTGGGAAATCCCCAAGCTGAAGCTGTGCTGCTCTAGCCACCACATCCATTTTACCTTAAAACAGACAGGAAGTGCTGGTAGGGAATAGGGAATTCGGCATGGGGTGGCGGGGGGAAGGAGGGAGAGAGGGGTGTGGTGGAGTCGGGGGGAGGAGGAGCGGGGAGAGAAGGAGCTTGGCAGCCGCTGGTGCCCAGATCGCAGCGAGCCTGAGCCGTGCGTCAGGCAGAGGATGCACAGGTGGCACCAGCCTGCGTGGAGGCGACAGGAATGAGCCGGAGTCTGCTGCCCTGGCAGGGTCACCTTAGCAATTCATCAGGTTAACCCTGAGCATGAGGCTAATGTAGCTACCATAGCAGGCTATTCAAGCACAAACTTCTCTCTGGCACTTAGGTGAATCAGGTTTTATTTCTGCACCGTGAGGTTCAAAATGAATTAATGTTGCGCCTTCAACACACTGCGCCTCCTGAAATATCCTCCATTTCTCCTCCAAAACAGAGCTGATGCCTCAAAGGCAAAACACTAATTGGGGAAGGGAAAGGACAGCACTGAGCTCAGCCCCGTGTGCTGCACCCAGGTTAGTGAATCTCATCTGCTCTGCTCTGCTTTCCCTCTCCAGGACCTGGCAGGCAGGCTACAAGGTCATTCCTTCTCCCTTTGGGGCCGTGTGCCAGGCTGGCTGTTGGATGTGAGGACACGCTGGAGAAGACCACGATGCTGCCTACAAGTGCTGGCCACCGGTGGAGGAGCAGGTTCCTCATGAGGTGGCAAGAGGCTTGTCGTAAGTAATGCCTACTCAGGTACTAACTACAATATTCCTGTTTGTCAAGGGAGTGGGAAGAAAATAGGTCACATCAGGGTTAAGAACAGGGGAGAGGGACAGCTAAGAATGGAGATGTTTGAACTAATTCCTGATTCCTTTAGAGGCCAGGCTAGCTGGGAGGGAGAGTGATATTCTAAAGCTGAAGATGGGCTTAAAGTGGGACAGCAAGTGATGATTGCTTCTGAATTCCAGTGGGCCTGGCAGGTGAGAAACAGCATGACAGACACAAAGATCCACCACGAACAGTTCTCAAATCTGTGTCCTATGAGCTGCAGACTCCTCGTGTGCTTGGGATTTATACACAGGCTGCTGAGCAAGGCTCCCAGTTCTTCACAGAAAAAGTCATAACAGATTTTAGAAGGAAATGCAGGATGTGAAGGCAGAATTCTCCTACTGGGCACTGCCACATGTAGTGAAAATCAAGGAGTAAATAAAGAAGCTCTCTTTCAAATTAAATTGTAAACGTTCAGCCTGTGCATATTCCCAGAGGGCTGGGGCAGCTGCTAGAGTACCCCTGAGTGCAGAGCAGGCACTGCTACGGTGATGTGGGGCTTCTGAGAATTTATCTGCATCTCAGAGAAGCATCTGGGGACCACAGCAGAGTAAAGGGGACACTTGGAGAGTGTCCCTCACTACTGCATGCCCAGGCACCAAGTAGGTCTGTGGTTTCCCTTGTTCCAGTCCTCCTGGTCACATTTGGAGCTGCAGCTGTAAGAAGCTGGGGGAATAATTTCCTTCTCCAGAAAACAAACATTGTAATCCATCCTCACAGACTAGACTGTGTAAATTATTTATAATGAGTGCTACTGAGTCTTGGCTTAATCTGATATACTTGGATCAACTTTCTGCCACCTACTAGTCACCAAACACCCTACAAAGTAACTTGATCTTCCCCAAACACAAAAACACTTGTTATCCATCTTTCTGTAGAGCTGGAAGACAGTTTCAAGTCCTGTCTATTGCTTCCCTGCCTCTCTTTCCTGTAGAGCTGCATCTTAACCAACACAATGAATTCCCTGGCCTCAGCTCACATCCTCGTGGATGCACTTCTTGCAGGGAAATGAAAACGAAATCTCTTTTCTGTATGATTTCAGTAAAATATTTCCAAAAGCATATAGCAATATATGGGTAACAACAAGACATTTTTGGCATATCCTACATGGCTGCAGAAGCTTGGCATAAATCCATTTCCTGAACATAACCACAGCCAGCTGCTTGAGACTTTGTTCCTGCCAGCCACTGCCAGCACACACACTGGTGGAACCCCACAGCCACCCAGTCGGCGCCGCAGGCAGCCAGGCATTCTGAGAGATAAGCCCTGAGCAGAATGCCACCTGGATAGCATTACACATGGGCTGCTCTTGCCTTTCTTGGTGTACAAAGCAGCTGTTATCTCATCATCACAGCTGCCAATCTATTATTAATACTGGGCTTTTGTTAAACATCCAGGAAAAGACGGGGGTCACTTGAATGACTCATGGCTCTTTCCCTTCCCCACTCTAGCTCCCATTCTTTTAATTCTCTCCCTACAACAAGAGTGTGATGTATTCTGAACAGAATTAAATATCAGCCAGCCAGTCTTTACCTGTACTGCAGTAGACCATAGGCTATGCTCTAATTTCATGGCGATTTTTGCTGTGGGTCCCAGCCTCTGCATGACAAGAAAGCACAGAGGTGCTCTGGGTAAAGATCTGTCTTCCATTTCACCATAAGGGTCCATAATTCTCCTTAAAAGAGCACATTTATTGGCATGGCCTGGGCTGATGTACACCTGAGATCTCAGCTGTAGGATAGTAAAAAATTATTGAAGAATTGCAAAAGATGGATGAAATAAGAGAGAACTGATATATTATCTCTGAACATTTATCCCTTGGTCCTTGATAAAGTCATATAGCTTGGGATTCAAATGGGCTCGTTGTCCTTAGACTACTGGTCCACAAATCTGCCAATTCTCACAAGGATCACTGGGAACACAAAACCTGCCCCGTGCAGGATGACAGGAGTATGAAGGCACAATGCTGACCAAAGCAAAGCTGCTATAAAAAAATGGGCTGTGGGTCAGATTAAACTCTAGAGAGTGGAACAAGGGAAGAAAGGAAGAGCAGGGCTGACTGCAAAGGTGCTCCAGGCAGAGCTTCTCCACAGTATGGGTCTCCTTTGGCTCCCTCTCTTGTGGCAGTGTTTTCACAATTCCTTTAGAATTAAGAAGTAAAACACGTGCTTGTTGGTTCCTTGAAGAAAAGCAGGACAGAAGAACCTGACTGCCAGTTCAGGAAGGCAAGACAATAACTGCATTCCCTTTAGCTACCATTCACCCCTAAAAAGACTCTACAAACCAAGGGACTGCCTTCTCTGAAGAAAAGTGAGAAAGGGAGAGGACAGGCATGATGTACAGACAAACCTGCTTCAGTTTTAGTCAAATGCTCAAACTTGTCACCTTAAAAACTGCGAGGGAGCTGAATTTGCTTCCCACATTGGAGAATAGTGGAATTCATTGTGAGATCTCAATTCCACAAAAGGAACTAAGATGAAGGATACAAATGTTTTACATAGTCTGCTTAAACATAACTCCCACTTCTCTAATGACAAGAGGCACAAAGCTTGCTTTCTTGTTGATAATGCTTCTTTGTCACAAAAATGAGAGCTTGAAAGGCCACTAGCTCCCAGGGAAGGTTGGTAACTAGAGCCTTGGTGCCACTGGCAGGATCTGTACCCATGTCTGGAATCCAGAGCAGCTCTAAAGAATGCTGATTTGTGGTTTGTCCACCCTTAACTTTGAGATAGTGTAGGAGAAAAGGTGTGTGTATGTGTTAACCCTTTTCCTGACACTGCTTTTCACAATTACATTTCTTTTCCTCATGCCATTATTGTGGGCAATTTTGGTCAGATGTGGTTTAAACTTTTACATGTCTGTTGTCTGCCCAACATGCCATGACTCAGGGTTTGCCCCATGATTTGCATAGGACTGTAATCCAGAATGTGTGCAAAGTTCCTGATAAGAACAATGCTGGATCTGTACCCAGTTACCATCTCTAGATTGGGGGGATCACTGGCCACTCAGAGATACTTTTGGGGCTGTTGTTATGGGATTCAGAAACTGTTTTGAGAGCAATGGCAAGTACCAGGTGTCCAGAGATTTAGGGACTCCTTGTTACTTCTTAGCAGTTGTCTTGGTCATCCCTTTGTAATATAATGTAATTAATTAAAAAGTGGACACAAGGCCCATATGACACACTGTGAACATGGTAAGCAAACAATACCCTGATTTAGAGTCTTAGATCTGAGTCTTATCTATCACAAATATTAGGATTCAAACTGCAGGAGCACACCTGAAATGTAGGTTGTTTTAATTCCATTTTTCCTAAAAGCTTTTTAGTAACATATCTGTTTCTGAAAAATTTGAACTTCTTAAATATACCTGGTCCCTCCTCTCTCTACTCTGTTTAGAAAGAGCTGTCCTTTGTCAGAGGTGACACCTCCCACCACTGTCTGCTCCATTCTTCTCTGACAAGTACCAGTGCTTCAGCATCTGTTGGCAAAGTCCACTGGGATTCACTGTTCTGACTTCATTGGGAAACTGGAAGGATATTTACTTGCTTGTTCATAAAAAAACCAGGCTAAAACCAGAGTCATGCTGTCAGGATGCAGGCCAGTGGTAAAGGGATTTAGCTGTGAGGAAACTCATTACACTGCAGGGCATTGCAGTGAAGAGTCCTGCTGTGAGGGCTGTGTTGTACTTGTGGTGGCTGAGGATGGGAAAGCACTGATCTAATCCATGCCCTCTTTCTTCCCCGCTTTTCACCTTCCAGTGCTTGGCTGCTGGCTCTCACTATGTGCTGCTGAGTCCTTCTTTGCTTGTCCTTCCTCCTGCAAGTGTAACAGTGGCAACCTGGAAGTGGACTGTAGTGGCCTGGGCCTCTCTTCCATTCCCTCGGACATCCCCACAAACACCAGGACCTTCCTCTTTCTTAACAACAAACTCAGCATCCTGCCAGGAGCAGTGTTTTCCAACCTCTCTGCTCTACAGAGGCTGGATCTATCCAACAACTTCTTGGACCAGCTCCCTCAGAACATCTTCAGCGACCTGGGGAACCTCACAGAGCTCCAGCTGAGGAACAACAGCATCCGGGCCTTGGACAAGGACCTGCTACAGCACACGGCCCTGCTGCGCCAGCTGGACCTCTCCATCAACGGCTTGGCCCAGATTCCTTCGGGCATCTTTGACGACCTGCCTGCCCTCCGCTCCCTCTCCCTCAGGTCCAATCGCCTGCAGAGCCTGGACAGGGTGACCTTCGAGCCTCTGACCAGCCTGCAGCAACTCCAGGTTGGGGATAACCCCTGGGAATGCGACTGCAACCTCCGAGATTTCAAGCACTGGATGGAGTGGTTCTCCTACCGAGGTAGGTGCTGGCGCTGCGGGAGGGAGGGAGAGGAGGAGTGCTGCTCTTCCAGGAAAGGCAAGCAAAGGCAGGCAGGGAAGAAACAGGAGCAGATACTGGCAGGTCAGGCTGACCTGAAGAACATGAGGACCCTGCTACAATTTAGTGCCATTGCACCTTCATATAGCAACACTGCCAGTCTGTGAAGTTCCCAGCAGCCCTAGATCTCCTATTTACTTGTTCTGTTTCTAATCGGAACTATTACCTCTTTTTTTAAATCTTAAGAGAAGAAAGAACTTTCCTCAAGTAACATTAAAATTTTAGGATTATGAATTCACCCCACTCTTTCTGCCTAAAGAGAAGAAATGCTTTTCACACTTGGAAATAGCCATCCCATTCTTTTTCTTAAACTGAGAGAATTAGAAGTCAGATTTGGCTGTAATGCACCAGGTTTTCTGCCAAAAAAAGAACCTTAGGGAACAGTGACACTTAGGAAAAATACTGCAACTCATACTGGAGAACCCAACCTACAGCTCAAATTAACAAGTCAGGCCCCAAATCAGACTGGCTATAAAATCATCATTTCAAACCTAGCAGTTTTTGACAAGTTTGTATTTCCAGATTTTCCTTGAAACACAGAAGACTAGAAAGGTACATGTCACTTATCAGGAATGCTGATGGGATGACATGCTTTCAGGAGCTTCAACTCAAAGAAAGATGGCACATTTTACAGGAGTGAGGATTGAAGGCCTGACCTTCTGTTTCTGGAACCAATGAGTAGGTTCATGCAGCTAGCAACAGTCAGCTGTCACATCCCTGCTGATCACAGCCATGCTGCAAGGAGATTATCTCTGCCTATGGCTACACTGCAGTCTGAAATAGGCATTTGTGTGAGCAGAATCAAACAAGCATACGAGTGCCACTTTCCACTTTTTTTTTAATTTGTTTTTTTTCTTGACTACCGTATCACAAAGTCAGTGGAAAGGATGCAGACATAACTTTGCTTTTTTTCCTCCCTTTCCAAGGAGATTGCTCAAACTCACTCAAGCACTTGTTTCAACATCTGTCATTATTTTCACAGAGATGGATTAGTTGTCAGAAGATGGGACGTGTATCTCTTCTTTTTTTTGAGAAGATACAGCCTGGTCCTATCTTTTTACTTTAATTTCTCCTCTTCTAAAGTGCTTCTACTGAGACTTACATAACTCACTAAACAGTATGAGGCTGATTTAAATGGTTTCAGAGGGCTTTCATGTCTTGGCCTATGCAGATATCATGCACCAGGAGCTTTAGTGTCAAACCCAAGCTAGGCAGAGGCATACTGGCCAGCTGACATGGTTGAAGCTTCTGCAGGGAAAATACTTTAGCAGGTGTGAATGGAGGCCCATGAACTCACCCCAGCTGAGGATCTAACCCTGCTGTCTCTGTATGGGGATGGAGCTGCGACTGATTCCTGTTATCTCTGTTGGACAGGTGGGAAAATCGACCAGCTGGCCTGCACCTTGCCCAAGGAGCTGAAAGGAAAGGACATGCGAATGGTGCCCATGGAGATGTTCAACTACTGCTCCCAGCTGGATGACGAGAACAGCTCGACAGTGCTGGAAAATACTGGCCCACCTTGCACTAAAGGAAGCCCTGCTCCTTCCAAATCTAAATCAGGCCCAGAAACAGAAGTGGAGCCCAGTGTGGGATGCCCTCAGAAACAGCGGTACAGGCCTGTGAGCGTGCGCCGGGCTATTGGCACTGTGATCATTGCAGGGGTGGTCTGTGGCATCGTTTGCATCATGATGGTGGTGGCAGCTGCCTATGGCTGCATCTACGCCTCCCTCATGGCCAAGTACCACCGGGAGCTGAAGAAGAGGCAGCCACTCATGGGTGACACAGAAGGAGAACACGAAGAACAAAAACAAATCTCTTCTGTGGCGTGAAACTGTTCTAGGAAGGAAGGGACAGCGATGAAAAAAGGTACCTGAGAGCAGTCAAGCATGGGGTCCTCCCAAAATACATCTTCCCAGACAGACTGTGCTATTGCTCCACTCACCCAAGTAGTACAACATGCTTCTGGGGGTCAGGGCACCTGGCTCAATTTCTTTTCCTCTGCTCCAGGCCCATTTTTGTGCCCTGTTACCCTTGGGCCCTCCCAGACAAATAAAGTAGAGTCAGACCTTGAGTGCTTGCTGTACCTCATGCCCTTGCACAGAGCTTCCCTCACATGCCTGCTGCAAAGGCAGCTGGCACCTTCTGGGAACCTGTGTCATCCTCTCAGCTTTGGTCCTGAGTCGTCCTGTATCCTGTCAAGAGTTCTCTGCAAACAGAGAGCAGCTGTATGAAACCTTATGTGGGGAGCAGGACACCAGAAGTGTCCATGCCTCACCGTTGGGTCACTGCTGTCGTGTGACACTAAGTTGCTGCCTACCCTACAAATCAGTGCTGCCAAGATTACATCAGAAGGGAGGCAAGGTTCCTATGGTAGGGCAACAGTCAGTGGGAGATCTCCCTTCTCACTTTTAGAGATGGAAAGATATCTGTATCACCCTAACACATTGCCAGGGAGCACAGGGTCCCTCTTTTTGCTCCTGGCCAAGTCCAAACCTTTGAGCTGAGCACACATGTCATCTGCTGCAGGTGCACAGGCACAGAGCCATCCTCCTGTACACACACACACTGACTCATTCTGATCCCAACACACACACACAGAGCCAGTCCCAGTTCCAGGCATCCAGGCACCTCACCTGCACATGCAGAGCTACCATTCATGCCCATGCTAACCTGCCCTCTGCATGCAGCCATGGATACATCCAGCCACTTTATCTTACCCTGATCATAGTAGTGGTATCACCTTCTGCTTCAGACAAAAAACATGCACACGCCACTAAGGAGTAACAAAAACATCTCAGCCATAGTGCAGAACTGGCAGCAGAGGATGGAGAGAGGCAAAGGTATTGAGATTACAACACCAGTCTGTGGAAATAAGTACATAGAATGAAAAAAAAAGGTGTGTTCTTATCTATTTTACGTCTTCTCTAATAAATGGAGAGGGTAAGGATATGAAGCCTCCATTTAGAACTATTTGATTGGCAGATCAGAAGTGGGTCATCAGGAAAGACTAGAGGAGGAGGTGGCTTACCAGGAGCGTAAGCTGTGCTGAGTAGTGTGAGCCTAGGGGAAGGTGCCAGGGGAAGAAGTCACACAGCCCAGGAGCTGCACAAGCACAGGGGCCAGCAGCGTGTGTGGAACAGGGTGATGCAGCCAGAGTGACCAAAAAGAGTGGATAGAGTTCTGGAGGGTCTTGAGGTGAAGGCTGGAACCTGGAGCACAGCGTGGCAAATGTGGGAGAGCCCAGGAAGGGTCTGGCACAGAAGGCAGCAGAGCCCACATGCACACCCTCCACCATCACTGGGGTGTCCAGTGACACCCACAGCTGCACCCGAGTGTGCCCACACACAGCCATGCACACTGCCACTGTCACGTAGGCTGATTTCCCCTAACCAGATTTTAAAGCCCTCAGACTGCAGTGCCTCCTATTAGTCTTAGCTCATTCTGACCTGACAAGGAAAAAAAAAGTGAGAGGGGAAAAAACATGAAAGGAACTAAACATAAGGACTCATTTTGTATCACTGGAAGTGGGATAAAATGCTGTCTCCAGGGGAGAGCGCACATTGCCATGGTAACCTGCTCTAACCCGTCACAGTGGGTATTCCTGGGCGAGGAAGATGACACCGGAGGTCGTGCATCCACAGTGCCTGTGGATGGTGTGATCCCTGCCATCAGGAAACAAGCTGGCAGCCAGCCCAGCTTTGCAGGGTATTTCACGAGGAACCTGTGTTCAGAGACCTGCATGCTCTGCAGGTGGCCCCTGCCAGGGCGCATCACCTCTTCCACCTGCTCCATCTGAATCCCAGTGCTGTTGGACATCTCACAGCCCTCCTGCTCGCTGTGACTGGATCCCTGTGCAGGAAATGCACGCTGGCTCCTCACTCCTTCTGGTCCCAGACAGGTGGTTGTACTGACCCCTGGGCACACAACATCATTAATCTAAGCCTGGAGCGGCAGAATGTCTCCTGGTCTACCCAGGGTCACCAGAGCCAGGGAGGCAGGATGCTCTGGACTGTTTTAGCATGACTTCCCTTCAACACAGGGATACATGAGGCAGAGGAGAATGTTCTTCAGGGAAGCAGAAGACCAAGCTGCCACGAAGGAAGAACTGGGAGAAGCAGTCAGCCCACCCACCAGTGTGCGCACACGCTTCCCCCCGCTTCCAGCACACTGTGGGGAAGAGGAAGAGAAGGAGGGGGGCTGGTGAAATGTGAGGAGGAAGGACTCTTCCCCCATGCACTGTACAGCCACCCCAATCATCCCATCTGCTCCAAGCCTAGCCCGCTTTGAAGGGCAGAACTGGTGCACTGCAGACTCTGTATGCGTGTTACTGCTGCTCCACATTCCCAGCAAGCCAGGACCAGACCCTGCCTGCTGGATCCAAACCTCTCCCCAACCTCCCTCTCAGGGGAACCTCTCCCTTTACCATACTGGACTCCGCAATCATACTTGAAATGGGACTTGAGTCAGAGCGGTATATTTATAGATCTATATTTTACTTGCATCAAATAATGGTGACATATTGCACAAAACAAATGGGATCTATATATGTGTGTGTGTGTGTATGTGTGTGTGTGTGTGTGTGTGTGTGTGATAAGAGAGAGACTGTTTTTAAGGGAATAGACTAGAGGTGGAACAAATGGGAAGAAGGTAGGGGACAATGCAGGGGTTGAGGGTGTGAAATCCTCATTTCCCTGCACCTTCCCTGTGACTTCCTCCTGCCCTGACCAATTTTTCTTTGTTGCTAATAATATTTTCTATATCCTGTGTTGTGGGGATGGTGATGACCTTGCCCATCCTCTCCTTTTTTTGTTTTAATTTATACAGCAGAAAGTCTGGATTTATCTCAACCCTAGACAAGGGACTGCTATGTTTAGAAACCCACCCAGGAAAGGAGAAGACAGGAAAGGGGAGAACTGAGTGTTGCTGGGAAACACGAAAGCTGGCTATGAGGAGTCCCGCTGGAAGGCAAATACTCTGTTTGGCAGGATGGGGACCTGTCCTTCTGCATGCAGAGCAGAGTACCAGGGCTCACTGGGAAGTGCCCTCTTCACGGCACTGTTTGCAAACAGGCTCTTTCTCCATTCCCCAGCACACCTGGAAATCAGACTGCCCTGGTGAGACTGAGCTGCTGCACTGCCCACAGGCACTGCAGGGAACACAGAGCAGGCAGAAACAAAGCTCTTTGGGATGCTGGATACAGAATGAGACCCAGTGCTCCTTGTGTGCCCAGCCAATGGGTTCCTCTGGTGTGCGGGGACAGTGGCTCCTGTTGTCCCTGCAGGCACGGCTGGGCGTGGGGGGAATCCACCTGGATGCAGGCAGCTGCTCCAATGACACATGCAGGTGCCTGCCCCCAGGAAAGGGTCTTCTGGGCTGGCAGGTCCAACACATGTAGGGCTGGCAGGGCCACCAGGAACACCCCTCCTGCTCCCCCTGCTCCTCTTCCCCACACATCCACCTGTGGGACAGGCAGGCACATCCCTTGCAGGGAACAGATGACACTTGTAATTCCTTTTTTCTTTTTTGTTACCGTTTGAGGGAGAGCAACAAGATTTTCTAAAATGATTGAATGGAGGTTTCTTTGGCATGAGACAGAAAATTTTTAAAGGTATATTATATTTCTGGCTTGTTGTTACAGAATAATAATAAAGAATGTATTTTCCTATGCTCCTTCTTGTTTAAATGAGATCTATGGTAGTACCATTCACTCTTTCCCTATCCCCTGCAGAAGCAAACACCACAGGGACTCAGCCAGCCAAAGGAGAAAGCCTCTCAATTCCCACAGATATATTCTTGTCTTTACACACTGTTAAAAGTTGGAGTGAGCGTGCACACACACACACTCTAACAGTGTAAGTCAGGGTGAGGCTCTAGGACTAAACACACAGTCGGTGAAGGTGAGACCCTAGATCTAGAAACACACACACTGAATGCTCCAGGGACACAGCCAGACAAGGGTGATTGTGTAACAAGGATAAGATACTGTGGCAATCAGCTCATTACATAAAAGTAGAAAGGGCCAAATTAATCCCTAGTGTAAGAATGCAGGAGCCAATGGAGTTATATTCAGGTCAAATTTGATTCCAAAAGCTCTCTCTTTTTTTTTTTTTTTAATTAGAACATAATGTAACAAATAGGGAGCTATGGGTTCCTACATCTCCAGATTCCTGACCCTCTTGAGCAAGGTTATTTCAAAATGGATGGAAATTGCTGTCTAATCCTATTGCACCCCCAACTACACAAGCTGTCACCCCTAGAGCTAAAAGAGTCTCTCCACCAGCTGTTCTCTGGCTAGGTCTATCACATACAGCTAAGAAGTTTAAATTCCCCACTTGGCCACATACACAATTCATCACATTCCCTTGCTGTAAGAATAAGCTCATCCTGACATGTGTGAAACCATGGAGGATGTTAAACCCCATCACGAGCAAACCCTTGTGCCACCCTACTCACACTGCTGTACTCAGTCACCCTGCTATGCTCAGTCTGGTCTTCAGAGAGAAGCTGGGAGCAGAACCCAGCTACTCTTAATCTGCTCACGGCTGAGGCATCTGTTCTGCTAAAAAGGTATGTGCTGCAGGAGAGTCACCATTATTGTTTAATAGCATGGTGTCTATGACACATAGTTTAATCTAATTTTGCCAGATAGGTAGAGGAGTGCACACAAATACTACTCAGCACTTCATATAATACCAGAAACACAGAGCAGAAAAAAAGCAAAGCCAACACATTCATCTGATGACTCTAGGCTTTTTCAGTTCATGAACTACCTGGGAGCAGGCTGCAATTTTCTGCAATTTGATTTTTAATCATTTGATTACTATTTCATATGGACCAATGAATTTGTCCTGCTTGCATACCTACTCATGCACACATATAACACCCTATATAATAACCATGTAATTATGTACATATATCAGGTAAAAATAAAAATAGGATTCCTCCTCAGTATGTCATCCATCAGCAGCCCACTGTGCTGGCTTGAAGAGCGTTTGCTAGCAGTGATTGGAAGCACAGGCAGAGAGTTAGCTCCTATCCTCTGACCAGATAAATGCAAGTCCTAGCATGGCATTTCTGAGGGCCAAATAGACTCCTCTCCAAGAATAATGGGCAATACAACAACAGTTACAGAATGAAATGTGAATAAATAAACATTTCCTGCATCATTCCAGGGTGCTCTCCACATCTGTTGCAGCCCTGCAAACCCGGGGAAAAGGCAGCATCCTCACAGCTCTTCCCCCTTTAGAGAAAGGGGGAACAAGGGCCAGATGTGTCTTTCCCACAGTTCTGCTGTGCTGCAGCCAGGCAGAGGCCATGTGCAGGGCACCTGGAGCCAAGGAGAAAGCAGAGCACGATGCTGACAATAACTCTGCCTTGCGT